ACTTCGAGAAGAACGTCAACCAGGCGATCCACAAGTACAACGCTTACAGGTGGGCCGGACTTGCCTTCTGGGGTGCAGGCCGGCGGAGGGCGGGGGCCCGCGCGCGTGTGGGCCATCTGCGGGAGCAGGAAAGCAGCAGGGCTGCCGGCGCGACTGCTGGGGCCCGACTGCCGTATTCTGGGGGGACCTGGGCAGAGCTCTGCGAGGTCCATTCAGTCCAGTTCGGACGGAACACGGGCTGATTTCCTGTCGTTAGACACGAGTTACTGAAGATGCAGTCTGCTTTTCACGTACGTGAGGACTGTGCTGTGAAATCGATGTGGTTCGAGGGGACACGTGTTCCCTCCGGTTGGGCTGTGTCTTGTCCTGTCCCCTCTTTGGACCCCATCCTTGTTCATCGCACCGGGGGCCTGAGCCCTAGACTCTGTGTGCCACTTGCTTCTGACCCTTCGCCTGTAAACACGCCCTAGTCCCTTCGCTAAGAGCGAAAGCAAAGCGATCGTCTTCACTTCCCTCTAACTCGGACCTTATCTCTCTCTCCCACTTGACAATTACCCTTCTTTTTTTTTTAAAAAAAATATATATATCTTATTGATTTTTTACAGAGAGGAAGGGAGAGGGATAGAGAGCTAGAAACATCATGAGAGCGAAACACCGATCAGCTGCCTCCTGCACACCTCCCACTGGGGATGTGCCCGCAACCAAGGTACATGCCCTTGACTGGAATCGAACCCGGGACCCTTCAGTCCGCAGGCCGATGCTGTATCCACTGAGCCAAACCGGTTAGGGCTGGTAGTTACCCTTCCTGAGTGATCTGTGTCCCTGTCCTGGCCTTCCTGCTCCCTAGTCTTTTCTTATCTCATGGTGGGATGATTTCCATTCTGCCGACCCGCTGAAAATGCCCTCACCTACATCTCCTCTTACGGGATTCTCAGTGACATTCACTACTAGCTCCTTCTACCCATGTCTTACCCCTGACTTCCGTGGCGGCACAGCCTTCCGTCCTTGCACCTCTCCTGCCTTCCGTGTTCATGTTGGCAGTGCCCAGCGATCTGCGGGCGGAGACCCTCTCCCCTCACTCTCTCGGCAGTTCTTACCATTCTTGGTGGCTTCCTATACTGGCTATGTCAGGGACTCCAAGTATGGATCGCACTGGGCTTTTCTTCAGATTTTTATGTCTGTAGCCCCTTAATCTTTACCTTTCCAAAGCTGAACTCAACTTCCTCCTTCCCTTCCCAGCCAGCATAAGTTAGAAAGGATTATACTCTCCCCTGTACCTCCTATGGTTTCCCATGTAAAGTAATGGTCCTGTCATCCACACATTTGATGACATAGCAGTCAGGAGATATTTTCAACCCTATCATTTGAGTCCAGCAGGCTTCAGAGAGGAACTGTTTAGTCTTGCCCTTCGATTCTAATTGATAGCTTTGCTGGGTAGAGGAGGTCCTTGCCTTTCATCACTTTGAATATTTCTTGCCACTCCCTTCTGGCCTGCCAAGTCTCTGTTGAGAAATTAGCTGACTGTCTTCCAGGAGCTCCCTTGTTGGTAACTAACTGCTTTTCTCTTGCTGCTCTTATGATTCTCTCTTTAACGTTAACTTTTGGCATCTTAATTGTGATGTGTCTGGGTGTGGGCATCTTTGGGTTTACCTTATTTGGGACTCTGTGCTTCCTGGACATCCATGTCTATTTTCTTCACCGGGTCAGGGAAGTTTTCTGTCATTTTTCAAATAGGTTTTCAACTTCTTGCTCTCTCTGTCTTCTGCTGGCACCCCCTGACACAAATGTTGGTGTGCGTGAAGCTGCCCCAGAGGCTGCTTACACTGTCCTCGCATTTTGGATTCTTTCTTCATTTTGCTGTTCTGATTGGGTATTTTTTGCTTCTTTATATCCCAAATTGCTGTTTCGATTTTTGGCTTCATCTACTATACTATTGATTCCCTGTAAATTATTCTTCATTTCAGTTAGTGTATCATTCATTTCTGACTGGTTATTTTTTATGGTTGTTCTGTAATTTAGTTGTAATTTTGAGGCCTCAATTGTGAGGATTTTTAAGATATATCTCTAATAGAGAGGTATGTGGTTTCAGCTCATCTGTGTGGGTTTTTTTTTTTATAAGTTTTACAGATGGGGAAAATGAATGATCTTGGTGAAAGTTTAAGCTGCATATTTGCTTGTATGTGTATTCCAGTTTAAGAAAAATTAAGACCTTACTGGATTTCTATTTTTTTTTTTATAGAAAAGCAGCATCTGTGATAGCAAAGTACCCACACAAAATAAAGAGTGGAGCAGAAGCTAAGAAACTGGTAAGTTTAGTAAGCAAGTTGATTGAAGAATTTACACATATACGAATTTGGTGGGCTTCCATAAACTAAATTTGGCCCACACAGGCAAATTTCACTGTACTGACTTATTGGAATAATATTTATTTTGCTTCAAGCATACTTCAAGCTCAAAGTGTTTTGATTGGGAGAGGGATGAGTTTAAAAATTTTTAAACATGTGTAATTAAATTTTTTTTCTCTACTCTCTCCATTTATGCATGTTCTCACTCATTTTCAGTTTGAGCGTAGTCCTGAAGAAGACTATGGACACTGAGTGGTACCAGCATATCTGGTCCCCCAGCTACCTTTTTCTGATCCCCACATACAGGAACTTACATGAGTTAGTGTTGCCAAAGAGATCTTACCTGTTAATAAGCACACGATTAAACCCCTTTGTATATTATGGCATTTAGCCCTGTCCTCTGTAATTCCCATAAAGCCCTGTATGCTAGCAGTGTCACAATTTCTAGAAGGTCGCATCCTTGGTAATTTGCAATAGTAATGTTAATAGTATCCTGGGAAAGTTTACCTAATGATAATCAGATTATTCTCTCATATAAATCTCACTAAAAGATTCTAAGTTCTTAAAAATTAAGGACCATACCTTATTCATTTTTTATTTTATTATTTTTTTAAACCCTCACTCGAGGATATGGTTATTGATCTTAGAGGGTGGAGAAGGGGAGGAGAGAGAGAAAGAGAACATTGATGTGAGAGAGAAACATTGATTGGTGGCCTTCTGTACCTGCCCCAAGTGGGGATGGAACCTTCAACCTGGGTATGTGTCCTGATCAAGAATGGAATCTGCAACCTTTCGATATATGGGATGATGCTCCAACCAACTGAGCCACACTGGCCATGGCTTATTCATTTTTTCTTAAAGATGTCAAACTGACATGGCTTTTGATTAGTCTAGATCAGTGATGGCGAACCTTTTGAGCTTGGTGTGTCAGCATTTTGAAAAACCCTAACTTAACTCTGGTGCCGTGTCACATATAGAAATTTTTTTGATATTTGCAACCATAGTAAAACAAAGACTTGTATTTTTGATATTTATTTTATATATTTAAATGCCATTTAACAAAGAAAAATCAACCAAAAAAATGAGTTCGCGTGTCACCTCTGACATGTGTGTCATAGGTTCGCCATCACTGGTCTAGATACTGACAGTTATCACCTTCTTCTGTTCTTTATCTGTGTGTTTTCAAAGTCCTGTAGAATTTAGGTATTAATATTTTATAGTCCTTAACTTTCTCATGAGAGCCTTTAGCATGTAAACTATAACTGTTCTTATATTTTCATCTTTCAGAGTTTTTTTAAAATATATTTTTTATTGATTTTTTACAGAGAGGAAGGGAGAGGGATAGAGAGTTAGAAACATCAATGAGAGGGAAACATCCATCAGCTGCCTCCTGCACAACCCCTACTGGGGATGTGCCCGCAACCAAGGTACATGCCCTTGATCAGAATCGAACCTGGGACCCTTGAGTCCGCAGGCCCGAGCTCTATCCGCTGAGCCAAACCAGATAGGGCCAGAGTCTTAACATTACCATAAATCTTGTACTTTTTGACTAACTGACAGATTATCCACTTTAGTCATGTACCACATCTTCAACTTGAATTTATTACTCAATACAAATCATGCTCTGGTGTCTAGGTTTTAAATCCTTTGTGTTCATAGTAGTTCTCAACTTCAATACATCCTCCCCAAATAGACTAGCCATGCAAGTTATAAATACATTAGACTTTAATTCTAAATTTCTATCTTTTCAAACTGACCCAGTGTTAAACCTCAGAAGCCACTTCTGCTCCCATTCTGTTCCCCTTTAATCACCATTCAGTTTCCCTTTTTATGTTAATTGCAAATAGCCCGATTATTTATTAAAGGCAAACGTCTGTCAAACTTTGATGCACTTCATTCCAAATCTCAGTTATTGTATATCCCTAAAAAGAACACAGAAGTACCCAAAATTCCTTTTGCATAAGATTGGACTTAATATGAAAATCTCATTTTTATTCCATTTCACTATTATTATTTTTTCTCTGTTATTTTGAACAGACCTACTTTCTGATACATATGAGTGCTTCTCCATAACTCTAGAAATCTGAGATTTTCAGAATAAGTATTTTGCCTTATACTCCTTAATATTAGTTATAAAAAATAGCCCGGCTCTAAATTGCTTTGGGTCAGTATCTTCTGACATAGAAAATGAGAAACCTGAGCACTTTCCCCCCCTTTTAAAAAAATACGTTTTTATTGATTTTAGAGACGAGGGGAGAGGGATAGGGAGATAGAAACATCCATGGGAGAGAGAGACATTGATCGGCTGCCTCCTGCACTCCCCCAACTGGGGATCAAGTCCGCAACCCAGGCATGTGCCCTGACCAGGAATTCCTGGTTCATAGGTCAGTGCTCAACCACTGAGCCACACCAGCCAGGCACAGACATTAATTTTTAAAAAGTAATTTAGAATTGTTTTGCTAGGGTTTCTCTTTTGTCAGATCATTTAAGTATTTTATATTTTTTACTGAAGCTCAATTTCTTTGTTTCAAAACTGGTCATATGATGATCATTTGTGGTTTTTTTTGTTTGTTTGTTTTTTATATTTTTATTGATTTTTTACAGAGAGGAAGGGAGAGAGATAGAGAGTTAGAAACATCGATGAGAGAGAAACATCGACCAGCTGCCTCCCGCACACCCCCTACTGGGGATGTGCCCGCAACCAAGGTATATGCCCTTGACCGGCATCGAACCTGGGATCCTTCAGTCCACAGGCCTACGCTCTATCCACCGAGCCAAACCGGTTTTGGCAATCATTTGTTTTTAATTTCTAATTTTATACTTTATTTTTTAGAGATTTGGAAAACATTACATTTATATGACTTCTGTGTTTTTAATTTTTTTATGTAGCCCGGAGTTGGAACAAAAATTGCTGAAAAGATTGATGAGTTTTTAGCAACTGGAAAATTGCGTAAACTGGAAAAGGTAAAATTTAACTTATTTATTTGCTTATTTGCTTATTGTGTCTATCTTTATGGCAGCTATCATGGAGCACCATTGCAGGTGATTGAGACTCAGAAGGAAAAGAGAAGAGAGGAGTTTATGGCTTTGAGTGTCTATTTTTAAAAATTTTGAATATTCTATAAAATGTTCACTTATTTTATGTGGCAATTAAGAGACTATTAACATATATAATAGAATTATCTTCATATTTTCAGAACCATTCAGGAGGGAGATTATAAACTTTGACTAAAAGGTGTTATCTTTTAGAACTACAATGCTTAAACTCTCCCAAGCATTGTTATGGTTTTATTTCACCCTGGTGAGAGTAATTATATCACTTCTGGTTTTTTATGAATGTCTTTTAAGAGTATTGGATAAGTTAGAGATGAGACATCTTTAGCTGCTCTGTTATCACTTACTAGAGGCCTGGTGCACAACATTTGTGCACTAAGGGAGGAGGATCCCTCAGTCCGACCTGTGCCCTCTTGCAGTCTGGGACCCCTTGCTCTTTATTGCTCGCCAGAAGTGGTCTTTAAGGGTTATCCAGACATACGTAAGTATTGGTATGTTTCCAATAAGATCATTTGAGCCCTTGAAGCATTCTTAAAGCATTGTCATGCTTCTTTTTTCCCCTTAAAGATTCGGCAGGATGATACAAGTTCATCCATCAATTTCCTGACTCGAGTTACTGGCATTGGGTAAGAACTATCTTTTTTTCTTCTTTTTTTAATCCTCACCCAAGGATATGTTTTTATTGATTTTAGAGAGAAAGGAAGGATTTCAAACCAGCACCCATTTGGTCTACGAGATAACACTCCAACCAACTGAGCCAGGACAAGAACTATTTTTTAAGCAGACACAATATAGGGTTGGTTTAATCTTTATGTCAGCCAAACCAAAGTGCATGCTGTTTCTCTTCAAAACTTGCATCTTTCCACGTCTGTGCCTTTGCCCATACAGTTTGCTCTTCTATATGTTACATGTCTGAGGCTGGTTCTCTAGATGTTGCCTTTACTGTGAAAGCCTCACCCAAGGCTAGTGTTACTTCCTTTGTGAAACCAGTTTGATTCCCAGCCGGAAATGATTTCTTCTTCCTCTAAACTCCACTAACACTTGCTCTTTGTACATCTTATTGTACAAAGATTAAACCTCATTTGCCTCTCTGAGCATGATATCTTAAACATTTAAGCTTTTTCCCATAGCACCTAGCATAGCACCTTATGAATTTGAAACAAGCTCTCAGGCATTTCTTAATGAAGGAATCTTTATCTTAAAATTTGAACTAGCATGAAAGGAGGCTTCTTGGACACTAGACAAAGTAAAGATGAACATTGAAATATTAAAGCTGTAATGCTTAACTCTCATCTTCATGAAATGAGAATATTTTTAGATATAATGATGATTTTTTATATGGCAACATTTTTAGGAAAGTTACTCTAAAATAGATTAAATTCTTAAACTTAGTCTACTGAAAATGAGCTTGACTCCTTGGGGACCCAAGGCCATTATACAGTGGTAGTTAAATGTTGTTTTACAGGGCATCTATTATATTGTTCTCTTTTTTCCGACAAGAAAACTGAATACAGAGAGTGAGATAAGTGTGGCAGAATCAGAATTAGAACCTATGTTTCCTGACTCCCTTTTCAGTTCTGTTTTTCTTTTTCTTTTTTTTTCATGGATAGGAAGAATTAACATAATTTATTTTTATTTTTATTTTTTTGGTATGTTCCTTTATTTATTTATTTTATTGCTTAAAGTATTACAAAGGGTATTACATATGTGTCCATTTTCTACCCCCTGCCCTTGACAGTCCCCTAGCCTCCCCTATCCCCCAGTGTCTTATGTCCATTGGTTATGCTTATATGCAGGCATACAAGTCCTTTGGTTGATCTCTTACCCGCCTCCCTCCTGCCCCCCAACCCTCCCCGGCCTTCCCGCTGCAGTTTGACAATCTTTTTGAGGCAACTCTGCCTCTGTATCTATATTGTTCAAAAGTTTATAATGGCTGGGATTTCAGTTCTGTTTTTCTATGCCGCATTGCCTTCCTGCCATGAATATCAGTTTCTGTGACAAGCGGTTTCTGTGAATAGGTTCTTTGTCATTCCAGTCTCAGTTTCAATATCTCAGAGGCCTTCTCTCACCACCCAATCTAAAGTAGTACCTAACCACTCTGCTATGTTACTCTATTTTAATTCATCTGCCAGGTATTTTCTTATTTGTTTATTATGTATTTATTCACTCTCTTACCCACTGGAACGTAAGTAGGTAAGAGCAGCACCCTTATTTGTGTTATTCCTGTTGTATTTTTAGCACCTAGAAGTGTTATCTGGTACATATTAGGCCCTCAGTAAATCTCATGAATGAATGAACAGTTTTCAAGTACCTGTATGTCTTTTATGGGTAAAAGACATGGGCACAATTGTTGAGACATCTTTTCACGTCTAAGTTTATGGTTGTATTCCTAGATTGAGGCTTCAAGAATTCCTCTCTTTGGATGAAATTGAACAAATTATCACGCACCATTTTAGCAAGTCTTGTTCACTTCAATAGTAACTCTTTCATGTTTGAAAGAGAAGACATAATTATTTGTTTCAAGAATCCTGAGTTTCGTTTGATATGAAATAATGTGTTTCTTTCTTGTAGTCCATCTGCTGCAAGGAAGTTTGTAGATGAAGGAATTAAAACATTAGAAGGTGAGTATGTCATTCCAGATTAAATGTTGTCCTGACTGACTGTTAATGCTCTAACAAACTACAACTTGAAAAATTCCTTCTTGCCCTAGCTGGTTTGGCTCATTGGATAGAGCGTTGGCCTGTGGACTCAGGGGTCCTGGGTTTGAATCCCGTCAAGGGCATATGCCTGGGTTGTGGGCTCGATCCCCAATGCGGGGTGTGCAAGAGGCAGCTGATCAATGATTCTCTCTCATCGTTGATGTTTCTATCTCTCTCTCCCTCTCCCTTCCTCTCTGAAATCAATAAAAACATATCAAAAAAGAAAACAAAAAAACCCCTTCTCAATTAGATACAAATGATACGATTTTTTTAAAACTCTACATTAGAGAATAGATATAAAGAGTAGTTTATATTCACATCTTAACTCAGAAGAAAATCAAGAAGAGCAAGAAGTGGCTTTTGGTTTTAAGACATTGATTTCATTTGCAGATTTTAGTTGTTGTAAATAAACTTTCTTCGTTAATAAAATTTTAAACTGTTAACAAAGTCCTACACATTCAGCTTAAAAGCCAAGTATATTGAGAAAGATTCTGTAAGAGACTTGTATCGCTTATTGAATTTTTGCTTTCAAAGAAGTGATAAAAATAGTAATTCTGAAACACTTTTCTTAAATCTAATATAGCAATCCTTTAAATATAATTTATTCATACATTTTCAAGTGCATATGTTTGTATAGATTCATTACAGTATATCTGTGGCATTTAGGGTTTAATATCTGTGGGTTCAACTACTTGTAAGCCATGAATTCATTAGAATGGTGCTTCAGTTTCTCAGCTACAAAATAGTATAATTTCTGTCTCATATGATTTAATGAAATAATGTATGTAAAGCACTTAGCAGAATGCTTGGTACCTACTAAAGTAATTAAAAATAGTAACCGACTCTTAAGAAGTATAGTTAATTAGTAATATTACTAAAAATTTGTGTGAGTCACGTGGCTAGGTAATGACCTCTGTTACATCTGCATCTCGGAGGTTTGTGTTTTTCTGCTTGTAGTGTATATGGGTTATCTGAGTGAAATACTGAAAATGGGGTCAAGAATTTGTTTTTCAAAGGTATTCAGTTGCATCTCTTGGGAGTGTGAAGGATCTACTCTAATTCCCCTTGTTCTCTTAACTTGTGTAGTTTTTACATCTCAATTCACAGACCTGTAATATAATAACTGTTGATATATCATATACATAAAACAGACTCAATGTTTCTGTTTTATATATTTCAGTGTTTTCTGTGTAAATACAACTATGAGAAATATTAAGTGCTCCATATATTATAAAGATACTTATTTTTCTCCATTTTTATATTTCCAGAGAGAATTTATGTGAATATGAGGGTGATTATAGGAATTGCTTGTGAAGCATACTTATCTTTAAAAGCTTACTCTTGTATTCATGCCCAATAAAGGAACATCTAAGTGGAACTAAGTCACTTTTAGATTTAAGATATGTTATGACAGTTTTTAAAATTAAAAAATAAAGATAACACATCTCTTTTTAACAAGATTTTTAGCACAGTTTCTACACAAACTGGTATTCAATAAATGTTAACTAAATGAAGGAGTGAATAAACAAATGAGCAACACAAATGAACTTAGTTACTCTTAATACATTCAGAAGTTGTGGTTACTACTGCTGCTGCTGTTAACCATAAATTAAGCAATATAGTTCTTATAAGGCTGCTTTTTGCTATAGTGAGTGAAATTTGGTATGATCTTGGTATGTTTAATCTACTGTTCCGTGTAACTAATTGAACTTTTGATTCAGTAAATAAAAATGATCATGAAATAACTTAGATTTTACTAGGTTAATTTGAAGAGTCACTTTTATCTAATTCTTTTTAGGCAAATTTTTTTACTGTCTTTTTCAAAGTAATTTTAATGTATTTTCCATGTATTTTTTTTGTAAATAGTATCACTGAACTTACCATTTTTCCCCCAAAATGTTTGAATTAGCACCTCAACTTTATCTTTTATACAGATCTCAGAAAAAATGAAGATAAATTGAACCATCATCAGCGAATTGGGCTGAAGTAAGGTGGCAAATTTTCTTTGACACTGGAGACGTAAAAGTAAAATTTTTTATAGCCATTCTTTCATACATCATAATTCTTCAAACTTAGCTAAACAACCATTTCTCTGTTCAGAAATGCTAAGATTTGTTGCAGACACCTGTAGAGTTTGCCTCTTTTGAGTTTTCCCCTCATTCTCTTAACTTTTGTAAGGAATTTCCTCTGAAAATGCATAGAACTGAGTGCATCAGTGAGTCAGTGGGTGTTTATTTCATGCTTACATTATACAAAGCACTGCACTAGATCTGGGGTAAGGATATAAGCAGGCTCAGTGTAGCTCTTACGAAGTTTGGAGTCTACCTCAGAAGATAGGACATGAACTTGAAACACTAAATTTTAAAAAAAGAAGAAAAATACCAAGCACTTAAATAACAGTAAAGGAATAACTAATAGGCATGTTGTATGTCAGCATTAGCTGTTATTTATTTTGTGTACCAGATATAATCAGGAACCCCCTTTCTAATTATTTAAAATACATAGTGCATAAGCTATGTACATGCATAAGCATGTTTCTTTCCTCTAGTCCTATAGTCTTGTTGACGATTCAGTCCTAATAACCTGCACTTTTCTGTTGATGCCGTACCATACTATTATACTGCCCTTCCAAAAATTTGAGCAAGTTAAGAGATCAGGGTGGTATAGTTCTCATTTTCTTTGCATTTACATAGTAAATAGAGATCTTCTGAAGAACTTAGTTGTTGTGAGAATTGGTTTTGAGCCAGTGCTTTATTCTTAGATGTTATTTCATACTTAGATAATATTTTTATAGCAATCTTGTAGAAGTATAATTCATATACCATACATTTCAACCATTTAAAGTACAAATTCATTGGTTTTATTTTTTAATTTTTAAATTTGTCTTTATTGTTGAAAGTATTACAGATGTCCCCTTTCCCCCCATTGACCCCCTCCTCCCCTTCTCCCCACTCCTGCTCCCTCTACAGGCCTTCACCAAGTTATTGTCCATGGATTATATATATATGTATCTAAGTTCTTTGTTTAATCCCTTCCTACCCCTCTCCCCCTCCACTTCCTTTGACATTTGTCAGTCTGTTGCATGCTTCCATGTCTCTGGATCTATTTTGTTCATCAGTTTACTTTTTCAGGGGTTTTAGTATATTCACAGAGTTATATAATCATCACAAACCGAATTTTAGAACATTTTTGTTGCTTGTACCCATTAACAGTCACTCCTATTTCTCTCCAATCCTCCACCTCTACCCCCCCAGCTCTTGGAAACCACTAATCTACTTATTGTCTCTATAGATTTGCCTCTTCTGGGCATTTTATATAAATGAAATAATACAATATGTGGTCTTTTGTGATGGCTTCTTTCAATTAGAATAATGTCTGGGTTTGTTTATGTTGCAAGATCCTACTAAGATATTTTAAAATACAATAATTTTACATGATTTAAGGACAATAAAATATAACCCATTAACTTGTCAATAGGGATCAGTCTAATTTGGAAGTGTACTAATTTAAATATATTTATTTACTCTTGGTATGTGAATGTGAAGTTTATTTATAAATAAGTTTAGATGGAATAGCCGAAAGGATGGCTTGTAAGGATTTTGATCAAGTTTGAGGAATAAACCTTCTCCACCTTCAATTTTACTGTGTCTTAATGAATTTTAATCTTGATTTTTGAATGACCTAATGGTATAAGGACCCTTGATATAGTAGGAAATTTATTTTTTAAGAAGATTTAAATGTCACAAAAGTCTTATCTATTTATTCTGTCTTTATAGATATTTTGAGGACTTTGAGAAAAGAATTCCTCGTGAAGAGATGTTACAAATGCAAGTAAGAGTGTGCTGAATTGTATTCTTTGATTAGAATTGACAGTGTCACTCTGAAAAGCCATTTTTAGAATACTGACTTAATTTTTCTCCTATTAGGATATTGTACTAAACGAAGTTAAAAAAGTGGATTCTGAATACATAGCTACAGTCTGTGGCAGTTTCAGAAGAGGTAATACACTTCTTAATCTCAGGTTATTCATGCCTTGGTCTTAAAATTGCTTAGTGTATATAAAAAAGATGAATTAAAAAGATGTAATTTGTGCCCTAGCTAGTTTGGCTCAGTGGATAGAGCGTTAGCCCACAGAATGAAGCTTCTCAGATTCAATTCTGGGCAAGGGCATGTGCAGGCTGATTCCTGGCCCCAGTCCGGCTGCATGTGGAGGCAATCAATAGATATCTCTCTCACATTGATGTTTGTGTCTGTCTCTGCCCCTTCCTTTCCACTCCCTAAAAATCAATGGAAAAATATCCTCGGGTAAGGATTAACAACAGCAACAAAAAAGATGTAATTGTATTACTTAACAGATTTACTAAGATCCAGTAGTATTAGTTAAGTTTATTTATTTATAGATGGAAATATATTAGAGAAATCCATACTGAATTTATTATAGGATGATATTTTAGTGACTAATTTTAATAAAAATAACAATTTTGGGTGTGTTAAAATCCTAATAGCGGATGATATTTTAGTGACTAATTTTAATAAAAATTTATAACAATTTTGGGTGTGTTAAAATCCTAATAGTGGTTGTCTGGCTAGATGCAAGTGAATCTGGGTAGTTTTTGTTTGTTTTCCTTATTGTATTTTCTAAGTTTTCTGTAATTGATCTAAGAATAATGTCTCAGGAGCACCAGTTCAAAACCAATTCTCACAACAACCAAGTTCTGCTGATGTCCATTTACTATGTAAATACAAGCAAAGCTAGAACTATACAACTGTGGTCTCAAAAATTTGGAAGGGTAACACAAATTTAAAAATATAAACTTTGACAATTAGAATAGAAAAACTTTATTTAAAACTTTTAGAAAAATATCTGACTGAATCTCTGGCCACTCTGGAGTTTTGCTTGGAAGTAGGTGATAGGCTATAAGCAATCCTCTGGGTAGCTGCTGTAAGAATCTAAAAGTGGGGATAGAAAAGGACTAAATCCATAATTACTGAAAAGTAGAAAGAACATTGGATTGGGGCCAAAATACCTGGGTTCTCAGGCCAAATCTGTCACTACACAATTTTAAGTAAGTTTGTCACTCCACGTCCTTTTTCCATATTTGCAGAATGAGAAGATTAGAGTTAACAAGTTATTCAAGTCTGTGCATCCAAAGCACCTAGGAAGTTTTTAAAAATATACTCATTGCTGTACCCTGCTACAAATCTACTAAATAAGAGTATCCTTGGGTAGGGCCTTGGAATCAATATTTTCAAAACAATGACTTTGAGACACAGCAAGCCACATGCTATGAGAAGTAAGGCCCTTCTATGTGTGTCATCCCCATGGTTCTGTTTGTCTCATAGGTAAATTTTCATGAAGAATTCCATATGTTTTCTCTGTTATCATAGGTGCAGAGTCCAGTGGTGACATGGATGTTCTTCTGACCCATCCAAGTTTTACCTCTGAGTCAAACAAACAGGTACTTCAATTTAAAATCAATGTGATCAATCTTACATAGCAATGAGCATCATTTTCTAAATGATAATTATCTATTTTCAGAATAAGTTTTTGTTTTATTTTTTTAAATATATATTTTCTTGATTTCAGAGAGAGAGGGTGAGAGAGAGAAACATCAGTGATGAGAGAGAATCATTGATTGGCTGCCTCCTACATGCCCCCTACTGGGGATCGAGCCCACAAGCCAGGCATGTGCCCTGACTAGGAATGGAACCATGACCTCTTGGTCAACACTCAACCAATGAGCCATGCTGGCCAGGCCTAAGTTTTTGTTTTAATCTTTCTGAAAAGGCAAACTGGTACTGATTGAATTATGTGAAAGGCAAAAAGTAAGTTGTTGAAAGGGATACATACTTTTCTACAAGGAATTGGATGGACAATCTAACATTTGAAAGAGATGAAATTTAGTAAAATATTTCCTGAATTATCCATTGTCTATCATAGATATTTTAGAAATATCCATAATATTGTATTTAGAAACTTTACCTCTATTAGAAATCCCAAGAAGGCAAAACGTTTTTTATTTTGAATATATGCCTTTTAAAGATGAAGCAGCTAATTTTTTTGTTTTAATGAAACAAATAAACACACAAATGATGTTTGCTTGGGAGCATCATGATATTGGTGAAAGATGATGGTATCTAAAAATAAGTTTAATTTAATAAGATGAATTTCCTGTTAAAAGAAAAAAGTACTTACTCAGAATATAGGAAAATAGGCATTTCTCCACAGATAATCAGAAAACTTGTGTTAAAAATGTTTTCTTGCCATAGCAGAGTAATTGCTCTTTTTCTTATTCCCTAATTATGATTCTACAGCCAAAACTGTTACATCGTGTTGTGGAGCAGTTACAAAAGGTCTGTTTTATTACAGATACTCTGTCAAAAGGTGAAACAAAATTCATGGTAAGTACTCGTTTGAGTTAACAATCGGGAAAAAACTTTAAAGACTGTTTAGTAATGGTTGTGAGTGTGTGACCTCACTGCAGCTTAATGTTACAATCAATAAATATCCATGAGGCCTTAAAGAAGAAGAATTAGCAGAATGCTAATCTCAGACTATTTTAGTAAAGAATTTTGTTTTAAATTCCCCACTTGTAAATATCTGTGCTATTGGAATAGATTATTAGAAATACTCTGCTATTTTCAAAATATCCATAATGACCTTGACATACAAGTTTTTTCCTAAAATAACAAATGTTTTTATATTCTCTAACTCAGAATTCTTTAAAATAAGTGAGTTTAAAATTGCCTAAAGAGTGTTAATTTATTATAATACCAAAGAAAGAAAAGGAATCGAGGTATGTGCTGGAACACCCAGGGGAAGAAACACATGTGGAATGTGTTCATAGTGGGGGAGTTAATAGAGCAGGACACTGCAGAGATTTTCAAAGTGAAACCCATCATGATGAACTGTCAAAATCCTGTAGTCCTTCTAGAGAATTAAAATTTAAAGATTCAAGAAAAATGGCAAATGGATTAAAAACAGATTAATAAATGGCCCTGTGTAAAAATAGACAGGAAGGCAAATAGAAATCTAGGATTAAGGTATTAAAAGCTTACCTTTATTCCACTGGTCACTTATATATACATCATTTGGATTCCCTTTTCTCGGTGCCCCCCTTTTCCCAAGTTCCATAACTGAAAGGAAGAAGACTGCTTTTGGAGAATAGACATGATAGAATTAGCAAGTCTCATTCATAAATTTAACAGTGGTTTTAACCAATAGTAGAAGAAGATGGTTGAGATGGATAATTGAAATATCATGTCATTCAGAAAGTAGAATGGTGGTTGCCAGGGTCTGCATGGAGAGGGGTATGGGGAATTATTGTTTAAATGGGTACATAATTTCATTTGGGGCAGATGAAAATGGTTAAAATGGTAATTTTATGGTATGTATATTTAACATGTAAAAACATTGTTATTAAATTCAGCCTGGTGATTTTTATGGGCTATGAAAGTATATTGCTTATGTTAATCACACTTTATCAGTGTTCTCAAAAGAACTTTGGGAAAGGTAAGAATAAAAATTCTAGTCAATCTTTGAGAATTAAATATGTTTTTCTGAATCTGTCAGATTTTGAGCACTTACTCTGTTTCTAAAAGCATATACACAATTGAGATCTTATTTAAAATAGGGTTTATATATGCTCCATGGACATCTTTTTAAAATTGATTCATTTTAATTTACTCAAAATAAATATGCATAATTCTTACAATTAAAGTACATTCAGTCAGATAAAATCCTAAAAACAATATGAGCTAGACAGGTTGGATTTTTTTTTTTCATAGTAGGAGTGTCCCTGTATGCCTGGGCGTGTTCTGGGTTCCCCTCTGTCCTCACTCTCCTGTAGTAGTCATCTCTGTGAGAGTGGGGAGTGCACCACCTGCTTTCAGATTTAGCCTCGTGGAAGGTGTTTATACAATGCAACAGCAGAAGCATTTTTTTTTTTTTTTTACAATCTGAACATATTCTACTGGTGCTCAGAGAGAGATCCAGAGGAAAAACCAACAAAGGCTGTAGTAATCCAGCTATCAAGAATACAAGGAAAAATTATAAGCTGGTGAGCTGGGTGTAACCTGGAAAGGAAAGGTGGGTAGCCAAGTATATGTGAGCATAAAGATTTACTGACAGTGGTGGAAATGGGTTTCCTGGTAGCTGCTCAATCCAAAAAAGACAAGACCTTTGCCTAGAAAGTGCATTGGCAGCCAAATTCCAGGGACTGCTACAGAGTAGGCTGGGTCAGACCTTATTGTTCATGATAGGAAAGAACAAAATGGGGAGAATGAGTGTTAATAGGGGGAGAAGGTATATTCAGTCAGTTCAGCAAATATGTATTAAGCATCTACTAAATTCCAGATTCTAGGAGCTTGGGATATATCAGTGAATTTAAGTAGAACTTATATTTGGGGAGTGTGGAAAGAAACTTAATAATGGTGAACTTAATAAATAAGTAAATTGTATAGTGTGTTAAGGTAATAATTACTATTTTTTAGAAAGAAAGGGGAGAGCAGGACATGGGGAGGTGGGCGTGCAGGAGACAGTATTATACAGGGTAGTCAGAGGCAAAGAAGATGAGACTTGGGGAAAGACTGAGGTAAGGGATTTAGCCAAGCAGATACCTGGGGGGAAGAGAGAGCAGTGACCCTAAGTGCATGAACATTGGCAGAGATAATCCAAAGAAGTTATGATCTCTAGGTTTCTGAAAGGATGTTGGCTGCAAAATGAATTCAATTTATAAAGTGAAGTAAACGCTTCTCATTCCATAACCACTTGATCTTAAAACCTCTTGTTCCTATAACTATTGATTAAATAGTTTTAAAGATATGACCATTTATGTGTTTTTCAAGTTATCTTCAAAGCATTAATTCCTTTAATAGTAATCAACCCTTAGGAAAGCCAGGTTATTCCAAATCTTCTTGTAAAATCATGGTCGTTAGATAAGTGAGCTATTCTTCCTGTGAATATACTATTTGAAAGAAAAACAAAACAAAACTATTTCCTCTGCATTTCGATGCCTGTTTGATTTATATATGAGGAGTACCATTCAAACTTTAACATTTTGTGCAAGTTTGCCCTTGGATGATTTTCTGTGAAATATCTACAGTAAGGATTCAAGAGATAATATAAGGTACCTTGAGGTCTACCCTAAGGTAGTGAGAGGGGCTTTATTTCAGATACTTGCATGAAGCTACCTAATTGAAATGTCAAACAAAACTCATCCACTCTATCTAATAAATAATGTACAGTAATACAGAGAAATCCTTTAACATAAGTACTTCAGAAAAAGTGCAGGAAATAAAATTAGCCTTGAAGAAAGGAACAAAGCCATTAGATGAAGTCCCAGTTCTAATGTGACAAACAGTAAGATCATTGCCTGTGGCATCGAAACATCCATATCTGAAAGGTAATACTCATGGTAATTCCAGATAGAAGTAGTTTCTGATCCATTTGAACGTTGAGCTGGGACTTATTAATGCCAACGAAGGTAGTTTTCATATTTTGAAGATAAATAGGTTTCATTAATCTTTCAGCCATAGCAACCCATTTGGATTTTAGATTTTAACTTTTTTATGTTGCTGAGTGAAAAAGTATGGCTTTTAGTGATATGTGTACCAATTCAACTACTTTTTAGAATCAGAAGCCTGACAGTTGTATATTTTTCTTAGAATGTGACATTTGAAAATTTTGTTTTGAAATTTATTTATGTCTGTAGTTCTTTTTACATATTTATTTATGGGTTGCTGACTAGTCCAGAATTTTTGCCTATTTTTCTGAAAAAGGAAAAGATAACAAAACAGACCTTGAAAATATCTGTTTGAAAACTAGAAGTATAATGAAAACTCACTTGTAAAGAAGGAAGAAAATAATCCCCTGGTTTTCTTACCTTAGATTTTCCTTCTCTCGGTCTTCTCGTTTCTGAGAGGTTTCCACAATTTCAAACTCTCCTACTGTTTCTATCATAGCTTTTTCATTTGTTTTCTTTTTCCCGAATAATCATTCTTCCAAGTTGCTTTTTTTCTGTTTGTTTTGGTCTGTCTTTCATGTTTGATGCTTTTCTCAATTAGCTTGTTGTTTAGAATTCACAAAGGCCAAATCCTCATCACTCTCATCCTTGCCTGCTGTTTCATGTAGTTCTGTAATTATCAGGAAGTGTAATAAGAAGGTAGTGATAATGTACAGTGCATAGAGAAACTAAATTAAAAGTGCTCCAAATTAGAAAACTGCCTCCATTTAAAACAAACTAACCTCACATTTAACAACATTTAATTAAAATTAAGCTTTTGGTTTAAAAATATCTTTAAATATTCTTTTAAATATCCATTTTAGGGTGTTTGCCAGCTTCCCAGTAAAAATGATGGAAAGGAATATCCACACAGGAGAATTGACATCAGGTATTTGTTGCGGACCTATTAATTTTCCCTTCTTTTCTCCATTCCCCCCTCCCTCTATTTATCTTGGAATTCACATAAATATCCAGAATCCCTTTTCATTCTGAAGTGCCTTATGTTTCTGCTATAGAAAATGTTTAGCTTGAAAATATATAAATAATAACTGTCTACAGAATCTAATTTATTTTCTCTAGCTATCCATGTCATCAGGATGCCTTCCACAGCTCAAAAATCATTTCCTGCCTGGGGAAAGTTATTGTAATAAGTGACACTGCTTTTCATTTCTCCACACCTTGCAGAGCATAGTTTACTAAAACCTAAACTGCAGGGTTGGGGTAGTTTGAATGGTTTACCTAATGATAGTCTCCTTTGCAGGTTATTTGGCCACATACACTAATATTTTAGGTGCTTTATTCTTACTAATTTTAAAAGTCTTAATTTTGCTAAATTTGAAATGTGTAGTAGACGATTTCTCTATTGCTTTTTTTTTTTTTAAGGTTGATACCCAAGGATCAATATTACTGTGGTGTTCTCTATTTCACGGGGAGTGATATTTTCAATAAGAATATGCGAACTCATGCTTTAGAAAAGGGTTTCACAATCAATGAATACACGATCCGTCCCCTAGGAGTCACTGGTGAGTATTTGTGTTCCTTAGAGAAAACCCCAGTCATCTGAAAAGAAAGTTATTTTCAAGGTATTTTGGTTTAGCAACTTTGATTTCTCTAAAAAGCCTTTAAATAACTATGCCAGTTAATTAGTTTCTTTGTGTTGTTAGTTCATCAGGCAACAAATGGGCTTTAATCCACACATGTCCCAGGCTCTCCCTTGAAGGCCCGTGATGACAGGAATTAACTCTAGCTCTATCACAGTGGATTAAATTCTTTCCACCTCTGATGGTCAGTAAAAATAAACTATTGGTCCAAGTGTTTTGTTTTTTAAAATGCATCTCCAAGATTTCTGAAGAATCCAGGTATCGTTGCTTTTGGTGCCAAGCCAAATTTGGTAGCTTTGGCCCATGCTTTAAAGTTAAAGAGTAAGAATAGCTTAATCCCTGCTTTATTGATCTTATTAACATTTCATAATATACTATGTAGTTTACTGCTCTGTACTAGGAAAATGAAGATTTTGTTATTTTGTCCTAAAAATTATAAAATTGGGCTTTCTTCCTTGGTTAACTAGGGCAGTACTTCTCACATGGCAGTGTGATACAAACCAGTGAAGACCCCATTGAATGCAGAGTCTAATTCAGTGGGCTTTGGAGTGGGGCCCAAGTGTCTGCTTTACTAGTAAGCTTCCAGGTGATGCCAGTTGCTAGTCTAGGAACCCCACTTTGAGTTGCAAAGGAACTAACTAGAGTATTTTATATAACCCATGAGGCTCTCATGGAGATTCAGCAGAGAGGAAAATCATGAATTGGATAACTTCAAAGGCCGTGGTTGGCACACTCAGGTTCCTTTTGTAGCACTGGTGTATATGTGACAAACCTCAACCCCGCGCTCATGTGGCAGAATGGGGGCGGGCAAGATCTTTTTTTAGTGACTTGGTTGCCACTTTCTTTGTTTTCTACAAGTATGTCCTATACAAATGTCAGTCCTGCACCCTCTAAAACTTTTGATTCTTTTGTCTCTTGTAGGAGTTGCTGGAGAACCCCTGCCAGTAGATAGTGAGAAAGACATCTTTGACTACATCCAGTGGAAATACCGAGAGCCCAAGGATCGAAGTGAATGAGGCCTATCCTTCCCCAGCACAGCCCAACAGGAGTCTTAATTTATTTCTTAACCTTTGCTATGTAAGGGTCTTTGGTGTTTTTAAATGATTGTTTCTTCTTCATGTTTTAGCTTGTACCGTAGTCAATAAAACCTAATGCACTATTATCAGATGATTTTGTTCTGATTTTATTAGAAAATATATGTAAATTTTTTAATCACACTTCACTAAGGGTTTACTAGAGAGAATTAAGAGATGAGATGATAGCAAGTCTTCAAAGCAAATTTTTATTTTCTCATTTTCTGTCCTTACGCTATAAACCAACATTACTCCCACTTCCTTTCCTCCTAATTACCAGTTACAAATTAGTCAATTAAGATACACCAAAGGTTATCCTCTTGAGGATGGTTCAGTAGTTTTCCAAAAATAGTGCCTTCATAAATTTAATTTTTTTCTTTGGCCCGTATTCAATTTTGTAATATATACTTAAAACTTAAATAGAAGAACAGGTGTGTGGTTACCTCATATAAAATCTGTAGCAACTGGCTGTAATCCATCAGAAAGAGCTTCCCTAAGCAAAATGACTTCTAATTGTACCCATATGTACAAAATATTGCCTCTCAAACTTCAAACAAAAATTTCACTTTTTGCCCTAGTTTTCTAGAAATGCTTTGTAACTTGCAAAGGACTATACAAACAAGATGATACTACTTTTTGAATCTTATTTCTTCATCAACTACAAATTATTTTGTAGTGAAATGGTATTTCCCTTCCAAGAAATCAAAGAAAATAAACAATAGGGTTTTTAATGAAAAATAATAGTTGCTGTAATAATTTTCACTGGTAAGATATAAAAGTTCATTGAATCACAGATACCACCATTTCTCCCCTCCCAAGTTACTGTCAGTTACCAGAACTTCACCAAAAGTCATTTAAGATTTATTTCAACTACAGTGGGGCCTTGACTTACGAGTGTCCCGACTAACGAGTTTTTCGAGATATGAGTCATCTCTCAGCCCATTTTTTGCTTTGAATTGCGAGCTAAAATTCGGGTTATGAGCCAGCTTCAGATACCCCACCGCTAGTTGGCACAGCGAACGTCACAGTGAACGCCACAACATCAGCCCAGCATCATGTGTCTCGTTCACTTTTTGATTTGACATACAAGTAATTTGAGTTTTGAGCTCCGTCACAGAACGAATTAAACTCGTAAGTCAAGGCCCCACTGTAATTGTTTTTCTCCCACAAAGGGGACCAGTACATTTTTCTTGTTTGCTATCAAGCTCTAACCAGATTTCTTATATTTTAAATCTTACTCTTAAGTTCTCCCTGGAGCCTTATTTCCCCTTCCCCTTTGTCACTAATCACAAATATATATAGGAATCTCCCGAGGAGTCGTTTCTGAATGCATTATTTCAAGTGGAGGATGGAAGTGAAACCAGCTATTGCCCTGCTACCCAATACTATGAATCATTCAGTACTTGCCTTCAGTCCTATTGTAGTTTTCCCCACATATGTTCAATTTTGTACCTAGCATTTCCCCACATTTAACCTGGCCTCATGACTGCTTCCCAACACTAAAACCCAACTCAGCTGTACCCCCTGGAATGGCTGTATCATGTTCCACCAATGGTGGGTGGTGCCAAAAGTTACTTAACCACACAATTGAACAATATTTTGCAATTATAAATACTTTGGGAATAGAGCTAAGCTTTTATTGTTTGAGAATGTCCCCTGAGTCATTCTAATGCAGGCTTATTTATAGCCACTGTTTTAGTTCTGTTGTGTGTTTTTTTATATAAACCATATTTTGCAAATATTTTCACACAATAATAATAATATAGTTCTTAAAAAGTGGGACAGTATTTTATGTTCAAGGGAATTCTTCTCTCTTTCAGGAGAATTCCCTCTTTCAAGTGAAGTCATTAATGACACAGTGTGGAAGCATAATATAACTTATGTTTCAAGTGTTGGAAACAATGGCCCATGCCTTTCTACAGTTGGTTGTCCAAGTGGCACTACATCAAGCATAATAGGTTAGTTTCCTGTTTTAGCAATAGACTTGATTATGCCCAGCCGACATAGCTCAGTGGTTGAGCATTGACCTATGAACCAGGAGATCACAGTTCAATTCCTGGTCAGGGCACATGCTGGGGTTGCGGGCTCGATCCCCAGTATGGGGCCTGCAGAAGGCAGCCAATCAATTATTCTCTCTCATCATTGATGTTTCTATCTCTCTCGCTCTCAATAAAAATACCTCTGAAATCAATAAAAAAAAATTTTTTTTAAATAGAACAAGACTATTTTAATTCTATTAAATAAGGTCAACTTCTTCTAGTTATAATAAAATATGAACGTTACTTATTATATATCCACAGCGTCTGGAAAAAACAGTTTGAAGAAAAAGAATTTTACCTGAAAAGGTGGATAAGAGCTTCAGATTTGCTGGCAATTAACACAGTACTAGAATTACATTTTAGAAACAGTAATTATAGGAGAAGAATGGACTCTAGGATCATCTGCTAAAAAATGTGGATGCTACTATCTATTTCACAGTTATCTGGAAAATAAAATGAAATTTTTAAAAAATATATTTTATTTATTTTTCAT